ACACCCACCCACACCCACACCCACACCCCACACCCACACCCACACCCCACCCACGCCCACACCCACCCACACCCCACACCCCACACCCACACCCACCCACACCCAAAGAGAATGTATAGAAGCGTCTAGAAAATGTTACCAATGTGGTTCATGGAGAGAGTAAATGCTGTTAGACATAATTAATAAAAATGAAAAGGAAAATTGACGTGCATGGTTGTGCGAGCGAGAAATGTGTAATTAGATTGATGATGAATCGAACATTTATGTATCTGCTTAGGAGATCTGCTTGACGAAAATTTAGTCCATAGCATGAGAATGCTGTATATTAAATTCAAATGATAAAAAAAATGAATAAAAAAAATTTATCAGCACTTTATGTATATATCATCTGAGGTCTATAGGTGTTTTTTCAAATAGTCATAAAGAATTATCATTTTTTTCTCTCACCAAATTCGACTTAAAGATGTCACCACTTTGTAGAATACATGACAATTCGCAATGAGAAGAAATAATATAGAGTAATCATTAGTCAATAGTTATTGGTTACTTATTTTCGCAAATATTTGTCTTGTAAATTGTGTTTATATTGTTTGTTTGTTGTTTTATCGACTTGACTATCTTGTTTCGAAAATATTTTTAGAATTATTATTTTTTCTTAAATATCTCTCTATATACTGTCATTTCTATTTCATTTTAGAAGATTTTTTGCATGTCATTTTCTTATCAATTTGATTATCTTCCATCAAATATATTGACTTTATCAGGTGATGATTTTTTTCAATTCATTAAAAGTACGTTAGGTGAACCTAAAGCCAATTCATTATTTAAAATTTCCGTGAAAACAACATCTTCATTTCTGCTCATTGAAAACCCACTTGATATACTTAATGAAGATATTGAAGATGAAGAATTAGAAAAACTAAAAGAACAATTATGTTTTAAAATGAAAAATGATAAACTTTTGATCCAACCCGATGTTCTTTCTGATTTTCTTTCATTAAAACAAGCATTAAAAGATAAATTAAACCAACAACTGAAACACCAAAATAAAAGAAGAAAAAACAATCAGATGATAATGTATCATCAATATCTTCGGTTTTACCAAAACAAACAACAACATCTCCATCATTATCTATTTCTAAACATCAAGAATATGTTCTAAAATTAATTAAAAAGTGGTGTCTTGAAAATAAAGAAAATTTAGGTTTGGAACCATTTGAATTAGAAGAAAATGTTGATTTTACTATCAATATCCGCGTTGATCATAATTTACTTAAGTATCTACACAAGGAATTATTAGATGTAAATGTGGTAAAGTTATTGCATTGAGTAAAAATAATGGAAAAATACAAGTATTAAATTATTATAAACACTTAGTCTCACTCGGATGTAGTCATATGAAACAAATTTTTAAAAAAGCAAAAGGATTAGAATTAACAAAACAACAGCAACAACAATCGACAACATCCGTTTCAAGTGCATTTACGTCTCATTTGGAAAACTCGTTGATGCTGGTGTTAGATGATGAACAAATGGTTACACAAAGACCATCAAATGATTCTTTAGTACAGCCTAAAAATTTTGCTAAACGCCGCATTACATCACAATCGCAGCAACATTCATCGACTAAAAGAATTCGTACATGAACGTTTCTTTTCTGTTTTAGCTAGTTTTAAATCGGATGTACGTTTTATTATGTTTTTGGTTTTTTATATAACTCTTCTTGAATAAATTATTTTAAAGCATTTCATATTACTAAAGTTGCTATTTTTTGTCCTGTATCATTGATTTTTTCAATATTGTGTTTATAGTTGGCAGCAAACTGAAAGAGATAAAGGAATAACATTGAATATTCACCTATCAATGCATATCACTGAAACTTCAAGTAATTCAAAGTTTCTCGAGGTAGTTCAAAGTACCCGAAGTAGCTCAAATTAGTTCAAAGTAGTTCAAAGTAGTTTAAAGTAGCTAAAAGTAGCTAAAAGGATCGCTAAAGCAGCCGAAAGTAAAGCAAAGTAGCGAAAATTATCATTGAAGTAGCCTTAAAGTACTTTTCAAATAGCGTAAAGTATCCATCAAGTAACTTCAATTAACTTCAATTGATTTCAAGTCCAAAAGTACGCTGTTCCCCCCTTGGACTCTTCCCCAGCAGAATCCAGAGAAATTTGTTCTACCACTTCAGTTCATAGGCAGGCCACAAAAGTGTAGAAATTTGAATTTGACATCGATGTTTTCAGACATGGACACGCTAAACTTTGCTTCAAGTTTATACTTGAAACAACACGTTAATGCTTTTGCTACTGGAGAACAACCAACAAAAGTAATGATGTTTTCCGTCTGTATCTCGATGATTAATGGTTCTATATGTACAAAATACTTCTGTATTCTTTTCTCTGTTAGCTGATGATGTTAGTCAATCATCGACTTGTGTGCTCTGTTCGATACAAAGGATGCTGGTAGTTGTTGAATAGATAAAACGACAATTCAGTAGAACGATAACATCGTCCGGAAAAAGTATTCCATTATAAGTAACACAACCATATAGTCGTTTTTCATTGCGTGCCGTTTGGTAGTTGTCGTTGGTCTTTGATGTAAAAAAAACACCATGCTCCGTTTATTACTTCTTTTTCTCGTTCCTTGCGTTCTTTGTCAAGCGACTGTAAAATCCTATTATATTCGTAAAGATTATTTTAATGGTCTCAAGCCGGCCGAGTTTACGGTTTATAATCCAACAGGTGAAACTATTCATTATAGAATTGAATCTCATTATGGAATTTTACACTCACTTGAGTTTGTCTCCTATCCATCGGAAAAAGTTGTGGGTAAACTGAAGGCAAAACTAACGCTGCTACTTTATGAAGCTAAACTTGACATTTTTGACATTCGATCTCAGCAATGGTTTAAAGGAACGATCAGTGCACACTTTGAATTGTTTACTAGAAAATTTACGATTCAATGGAATAACCGACGTCTGATCATGATATCTGATGCATATTCATTAGTAACACGTTTTTATGACGAACAACGCCTCGTAGCTACATTTAAGAAACGATTCGAATCCTATTTCTTCGTCAACAAATTTTACATGGAAATATTCGTCGATGAGTTTCCAGATGCCATCTTCCTGTTGGGCCTCGCCGTCAGAGATCGCAATAGTCGAAAACAGCGACAAGATTAACATTTGAAACTAATCAATTCAAAATACTGCTAAGGTGTATGCTTATTTTAAGTTCTTTTATGAACTTCTGATATTGCAGATTCACAATACATGCTTAACAATTATAATAATAATAATGATAAACAAAAAACAAAATAAACAAAACTTAAAGATATATAGATATCAAATGAAAAACGAAATACATAAACTTATAAATAGAAGATGAGAACGAAAGAAAAAGAAAGAAACAGAGAGCGATTTCAAGGAGATGATGTACATGACCTTGTGTGTTAGCATAGATTATAAAAAATACTGTATTGCATGTGAATATTTTCTCGTGATGAACTGCCGATTTATATATTTTCTCTTTTTTTGTCTTTTGTTTCTACGTCATGAAAGTCCTCTCTTTAATGTAGACAGCAGATAAATAATGTTTTCTCTTTTAGTTTACATCTGAAGGTGAGGAGTGGTGTGAGTGTGGGTAAGGGTAATGACCTTCTCTTCACTCTCACTCCATCTACCTTTACTCATCCTCAACAAGAATCATTATAATTTATTTTTCTAACGAACTTTCGAGATATCCGGGTACGTTATTTTCTATTTTGCAATAGCATTTAGCGTAAACATTGATACATGCATATGACTCTATTATTGATAGAGGCATCTGATTGATTTGATGAATTCTTTTTTGTACATTTTCGATGGTAAAGCAAATATCACAGATATCGTAATCGGAAAATGAATGAAATGGAATAACCAATGAGATAGAATCAAGAATCTCGCGGTGATTTCATACATTCAGACAGAAACGATATAATTAAACGAGACAGAGCTAATAAAACGAGAATCAATGGTAAAATTAGAAGATGTTTATGCTCTTCAATTTGTTTGTGTAAATGTTGTTTGAATGGCTTTATTTTCTGAGATTTTGAACGAGTCCGAGCGGTGTTGATGAAAATGACTAATGTCAAGATAATATTGATTACAAATGGAACAGCAAAGGGAAACATACGTAAAATCCACTTAAATATCTGTAAAGATGATGGATAATGACTGACACACCATGTGTGTTGTTCTTCTTCATCGTTTGCTAAACAACGATAAAATGGATCATAGATATATGTACAACTAGTTAAAAGAACCATAAGTGAAATCATTATTTTAGCCACTCGTTTACTCTTTGCTTTGTTGAAACCGATTCCTTTTGAAACATTAATTGCTCGTTCAATGGCAACACAAACACTAAGCCAATCAGTAATAGTTGAAAGACATCTAAGAAGAAAGTCAATGAATACACATTGTGCGTAGACGAAAGAATGGTGTTTAATAGAACCAATTTGTGGGTGTCAGTGTAGATATAGTCTTAATTCGAACCCCCCCCCCCCCCCCGCCTCACCACACTCACACCCACGCCCACACCCCGAATGTTTTCCAGTTGGACATTGCTGGGGACGACACTTATTTAAAGTCTGAACAAACGAGTTGTTCTTCTCAATCTCTTAGACATAGACATTTTTTCTCGTCAACTAATGGTCCATTTCCGTGATACCACGTATTATGTAATAGATCTTTATTTATGCATTTTCTCACTGAATTCTCACTTTGAACACGATTTCTTCGCTAAGATAGTTTAAACATTTGTATCACCCAATTATTTTTTTGTTGGTGATTGTAGAGTTCAATTCTATATCGCATTAAAAGGTCTGAAGCATCTAGCAGTCGAAGGTTGACAAGATTTTTCTCCCTTAGAAATATTTTTCATTATCACTCTTATCGATCATTTTGCACAGCAGTGTCTTAAGATTTTGCTTTTTACAATGGCACCAAAATGTCACAGCGCCGTGATCAACCAATGCTGATTCAACTTTGATTTTTCTTTGCAAGCGAGAAAAACCCAGTGCTGACAGCCAACAAAGTGCGCCATTCTTCAATTGCTTATCGGACTTTTTCTGCGCAATTGAAAGCAGCTACTCAAACGGACCTTGTGCAAACATATCTGTTTCTCCGCGAAAAAGAATGGCGAGAACATAGACAGAGCAAGCAGTTTTTGTTTTGTCTATGCAGATAATTTATTTTATGTAAACAGCACGCCCCATCGTTGCGTAAACATAAGAAGCAGACCTCTATCGTGTTCATATCGGTTTAGCTTAAACAAGGAAGTATCAGTGAATGGGAATTCAGGCATCAAACTCGAAATAAAAAAACCAAGATAGTACCCAGGCAGTCACACTTTTGGAAAAGCGCGTATAAACGCGCAATCGCAATTCCAGAATCTCCTTTTTAACGCTTGTTTAGAAAACACCAAGACCAGTCACTTTCAGCTCTATAAATCCGTGAAAACGCTTCAAAGATTTTTTCCATTATATTGTAGCGGGTTTTGAAATCTTCACCGTCATTCCATTCCAATTGACTTCGATATGGAGAATTTGAAACACGCTCAACGGCATAAGAAGCACTTCTTCTTCATCTATCATCGGCAATGTCCGTGCAATGTAGAGTGCCAGTGTTTCTGAATGACGTATGTCATACATGTACTCAACGTTTTGTTTGCAGCAAGTCACTTAGGAATGGCGTTCCTCGTAGTTGGTCACATTGATCATTGCCCGAGAAGACTTGAGCGACATTCACACCCCAACCCAACTCGAATTGGCCGGATTCTGTTTTGTCGTTGAGAGAAACACTGAGTAGCGACACTCGATGTGTTTCTTACCTTTATCCATCAAATACGCAGCCAAATGCAACTCTGTTTTCTAAAGAGGTGCCATAACGCCAGAGCAATGTGAGATATTCAAGAATGCCCGATAAAATTTGGGAAGTTGATTGTTAAGCGAATTCTCATTTGGTCCGTAGGAGTTTTGATTGATCATCAGCCTGTTCAGCGAAGCGTTTAATACGATTTTCTTTTCACGATTGGGATTTTTAAAAGTTCTTCAATGTGACGATCCTTCCTTTTTTCCATTTGGACTGTCAGTCTGATATATTTTCATTTATTTAAAGTTGTATTAAGCTAAGAAAATGTTGACATTTGTTCCATTTTTTGCTCA